GTCGCTGCTGTTGGAGTCATCGCTGGAGATGAGGGCGAGCGCGGCTGCCGCAAGCCCAACGAAAGCAGTGACGTTGGCACGCACGGCGTCCGCCTCATTCACAGTCCGGGTGGGCCGCGCAGTCACAACCACGTCGCCCGTGAGCTCGTTCTCAGAGGAAGATGCCGAGGAGGCGGACGACAAGGGCGAATCGGCGGGCGTGCTGGCTCGGGCGCCACGCTGCGATATCTGCCGCCGCGATAATGTTGATGGTGGTGCTGCTGTCGGGGCTCGTGTTTTAGCTGCTGCTGCATGGGCCGACGACGCGGTGGATGCTGGACCGAAAACAGCCGACGGAACAACCGCTCCAGGTGGCGCTCGATGAACATGTGCACTGCGCCGCGAGGCCGTGTCGGACGCAATCGACCCCGCCTCGCTCTCGGTATCGTCTGCGTGGCGATCCTGGCGGTTACGCCGGTTGTTGGCATTGCGTGACCGGGACGACGATGAGGAGGTGGTGGCAGCGGTGCCGTTGGTGGTGGAGGACGAGGCGGGTGGGGCAGAGGGGAGCGGGAGGGGTGCCAATGCGCTGCCATGCTGCGGATGTTGATGATGATGAGTAGGTGCGTGCGCGTGGTGCTGCTTGGTAGAGCGACCGTGTGGGGCAAGTGCGCCATCAGAGCCAGTTCCACTGGGGGGGGAAATAAGTGGCGTGGAGGACATGGGCCGCATCCGTAACGGTGACTTGGTCGGCTTGGGTCCGTTTGCCTTGCGGGTCGCGGCCGTATGTGTCGAAGAGCCAGTAGCCTGTGCAGCAGCAGCCATGGCCGCAGCAGCGGCAGCGGTGCTTGAGCCAGTACCGCGCTTTTTGCCAGCAGCTCGGTAAGCGTCCAATGAACGCCCTTTTTGCTGGCTGCTCGTGGAGGGCAGCGCTGGATGCAAAAGCGGCTTATGTTGCACCTGGTTTGGAGGCGACGCGCGTACGAGACCCCCATGGTCGGCTGGCGGTTGGCCGCCGCGGTTGCGCCCCAAGTCATTGTTGGTCTGGCCCATAGACGACGAGCTGCGCCCAAGGCTCTGTGCTGGGGCTTGTGGGACGACAGCAGCCCGCGGTGGGGCAGACGGCTTGCACGTGCACTCGCCGTCGCAGACAACGCACATATCGTCGTCGTCGTCATCATCGTCGTCGTCGTCGTTGCTGTTGATGTTGCTATTGCTGTTGTTGTTGCCAGCGTTGGGGTTGCGGCCTGCATCGGATGCACTATCGTCCTCCTCTGTTGCATCATCGTCAATCCTTGTGGGCAGAGGGCGGGGGACAGAGGGAAGTGTCGCGGAACGGGAAGGCTGCGGAAGCGCCGGCAGTGCTGGTTGGGCGCGATTGGAACCACTCGAACCTGGCCGATTGGAGGTGGATGTCCCCGGTCGTGCAGCCGCATGGGCGCGAGGCCCAGACTGTGATTTTGGTGCTCTGACGCCATTGCCAGCGCCACCATGAGCTCCACCGGGCCGTGTCGAAGTCGCAGTGGGGAGCGGCAGTGGCAAGGAGTCACTCATGTCATCAATCTCAATGTCTGTCTCGTCATCGTCCACGGGCAGCTTGGAGCGGACGCCTTGACGGCTCTTGTTGGCGGACGGTGCAGGGGCCGGTATGGGCCGCTTGCTGGCAACGGATGGAGCAGCAGAACCATGAGCAGCGGTCGCGCCTCCACTCTTTTTCGCCAAGGGAAGAGCCGACAGTCCGGTGAATGCAGCGCCATCGGGTGCCGATGGAGGATGGCCAGGCCGGCCAGCGCGAGGTTTCGTGGGCTTTGCTCGAGATGGCTTGGACGACTGCGGCAGCAGTGGTGGCGGCGGCGGCGGTGGCGCAATCGCATGCACTGGGAATGCTGCGGTGCCGGTCGAATGGGCCAAGCTCATGAAATCCATATCGGAGATGACGGGGAGCATGCTGCTGTTGCCCATTACCGTGGCAGGCGCACGGGAGGGCTCGTTGGATGGACCATTTCGACCGCGGCCCGCAACGGCGCCCCTGCCGTGATCAGCTGGGCGTTTGGTAGGCAGCTGGGACGATGGGTCGGCAAGGCGGTCCATAGGGGACAATGGCTGGTTGAGATTCGGGAGGTCGAAATCCAGGTCAAAGTCATCGATATCGATCTCGGATGCTGAGGTCGCGGTCGCCATCGAAGGTGTTGTTGGCCGCGCGGGCGACACGGGCGCGTCATTCCAGGAGGGTTGCGGTTTGGTCGTGGCCGTTCTTGTAGCCGCTGCACGACGCGGTGGCCGCGGAGCTGCTGCTGCCACTGGAAAGGAGGTGCTATCATCCGAGCCCACATTCATGTCCAAGTCGTTGTTGCCTGCGGCGCTCTCTTCGACCCCTTCATCGTCATCGGCAGAATCGGGCGATGCACGCCGAGCACGCCGACGTGCTGGAGGACGCGCTGCTGGTCGTGGGCGCTTGGACGAAGTTGATGACGTCGCGCTTATTGGTGCTGGCGTCAGATCAAACTGGTCGGGCAGGGCAGTGAGGGCGTCGGCAAACCCGTTCATCATGGCGGCGGCCGAGACCGCGGCGCCCACTTGGATCACGGAACTGTCGCCACCACCAGCAGCAGCATCACCGTTGGGGCCATGCACCTGGTTGTCGTCCGACGAGTCGCTGGTTTCAGACTCGCTCTCGTCCGACTCTTCCTCCTCCTCGTCCGAGGCGCCGGTCGCCATGTGGGTGAAGAGCGTGGTGTGTCGTGGGGCGCTGTCTGCTGTACCGCGGTGGTGGTGGTGATGATGATGATGGTGGTGGGCGGCGGCAAGGGGCGCCTTGAGGGCAGGGCTAGGGGCTGCTCCGCGAGGTGCCTTGACAGCCACGGTTGGGTGAGGCATTTTGGACGCGTACGATGCGTGCTGTGGGCGCGGCGCCTTACTGCTCTTCCCGCCTTTCCCTCCGCCCTTTCCGAAACCAGCGGGAAAGCCAGTGGACGAGTCGCTGTCGGAATCGTTGCTGCTGTTGCCGCCGTCGCTGCTCCCGTCGCCGCTGGATGACGCGGTCATATCGTCCGTGTCCCCATATCGGTGTTGCTCTGCGGAGCCGGTTGACGAGTCGAGCGCGCCAGACGCAAAGTCGCGCGCGTCCTCGTCGGCCATGTTTTGTGCACACGAAGGGCAAAAGTACTCGGGGATGCGGGCGGCCGTCGCGTGTGTGAGGCCAATACAGCGGCCATGAAACCATCGATCGCAGGCCGAGCACTCGATCGCAAACTCTTTACCGTCGTAGGTCCCATTACATAGACAAAATGGACGCGCGGGTGGGACAGTCATGATTGAAGAAGAGAGCCTGTTTTTTTAAAGCGTTAAAATTGGGCTCACTCACAATATATAGCGGGGGTCTGGCGCGAGTCGACGGCCGGCGGAGTGTTTTCGTCGCTTTTTTTTATACGACAAAAAAAAAAAACACCGCCGTTCTCTGGATATCAACGCGGCATCCCGCATCGTAAATCCAATGGACGTACAAAATAAATCAACAAATGGGGTTTTTCGTGGGGTATGAGATTTATAAGGCGAGCGACGACGGGATTCGCTGTAAGATCTGCATTCCGATTATTTACTTACACGTCAGGACGGAGCCGCTCCTCAATGTCGATTCGCCTGCAAGAGCAGAGAATATCAAAAAGGACGCGACATGGACGCACGTTTTTTCGCTGTGTGGTTGGGGTGCTTTTGTTTCCGTTTTTTTGTGGGGGGCGTGGATGGCCGGGTACCCGCGCGCAAGTCCGAGAATAACGCGAAGTTGGTCGCCCAGAAATATAATAAAGAATCGTTCCGCTCTCTTTTGAGGATTTTGACACGCAAAAGAAAGGAATACAATGAGATGCGGTCACGATAAAAAAAATGGTGAAGAGATTTTTTACATTGATTCAATCGCCTTCGTCGCTATCGAGCGTAATAACAATCCTACCCGGAGGAGTTTTACTGTGCGAGCGGTCATGGTCGTCGTCGTCCTCGTCGTCGTCTCCATTTAGCGTCACCGGGCCCGAGCGCGACCGCTTGCGCGCAGGAGCCTCCAGAGGTGCGGTCATTTCACTGCGGTCGCGCTTGATGGGACGCAAAGGCGCTGCGTTACTGTTGGGATCGGCAATGATGCCCCGGCTGATCATGAGACCTGTTATTGTCGGGATACATGCATAAGTGACCGCGCACCATGTAATGGATGAGGGAAAACAAGTACCAAGATCCGAGTACTTGAAAATGAAATCATGCACCGTGACTTCGGCCAAGCTCTGCGTGGAGCCAGAGTGGTAGGCACCAGTCGCGTCGCCATAGCTTTGGAGACGGACGCGTTTTGAGCGAGATCAGTATGCGCAAGCGAAAAAACAATGAAAATAAGAGGAGCTTACCCGGTCGAATGCGTGATGCGCGTGTCGCTGACCGTCTTTTTCTTGAGAATGACCTGCTTGGCCTGCGACGTGGAGGCCACTGGATGGGCGCGATGGATGATCTGGCCGGTCGAAATGCGGACTTTGATGGTGCCAACTTCAGCCGCGCCCTCGCCCTCCACCACAAGCTTGTCATCGAGACCGGGCCCATGTGCTGCACCGCCCTCGAGAAGAATGGCTGGACGCATGGCCGAGAATTTGAGTGACCGCTTCATCCCGTTGTCGACGGCAAAATCAAACGAGGACGGGCGTTCCGAGAGCGGGGAGCCGCTGATGAGGATGGAGCGGCCGTCGACAAAGAGCTGGGCCAAATAGCACGGTGGTTGTTGCTGGTAGTGCATACGGCCAGCCTCCTCCTTGGCCTCGGGCGTCAAGCTGACCTTGGCCAAAAAGGGCGCGTCCGACTTGGAGGCAATTTCGCAGGTGGTCTCGAGCACGTTGGTCCACTGGTTTTCGATGGTGCGGACATTGTATTCGCGAGCGGGCGCGCCGTCGACCTCGATACAGACGCTGAATCCGTTGACAACCACCATTTTTTTGTTTGGTTAAAATGTTGAAAGAGCAAAAAAAAAAAACTCATGTTCTCGTTGAGTATAGTACGAGTGGGGTTCGAACCCACGCGGGCTTGCACCCAAAGGTTCTTAAGACCTTCGCCTTAACCGACTCGGCCATCGTACCAAGAGGAAACGTGACCTTGGGGACTTTAATCGTGGACGGAAGTTTTTCAGGTACGGCGGGAACGAGGACCTTGTTGTTGTAATGGCGCTACATTTTTTTCTTTTCTTTTTTGGGTAAACATAGAGAGAGAGTTGACCGGACTTGGATTTTTTTTGTATTCAAATGACGGCGGTGCCAATAATGGACCCGCTCCGCTGCAGACCTTTAAAAAAAGAGCAGAGACGAGATCCGAGCCAACCGTACCTGGGTGTTTCGCGCCTCCAGCAGCACTGACGCGCCCCGTTCCCGGTATCGCCCATGGTGCCGGCGTCAAGGACGGGCAATGCAAAAGAGCATATCAAGTCATTGATGTGGAAAAAAAAAACTCTCTCCCCACGCGAGGCAAGTGTTTAATTCCTGCTCAACTGCCCAGCAAGACAGGCAAGTCCAAAAAGAGTGAGGCTCACACAGCGGCCGCCCGAAACCAACGAAGCATACCCCGAATCGGTTCGCCTGCTGCAAACAGCTCTTGCAGTAATATCATAGCATCATTTGCAGCGACCCAACAACAACAAGAATACTGGAGGCGGCGCGATAACAACAACGCCTTTCAAAAACATACATGAGCTACGGTTCCTCGGCCGCCGCCGCCATGATGGCCATGGCCTCTGTCGCCGCCGACTCACCGCCACCGGTCGTCCAGCGACGCGCCGTCACAGGCTACTTTGCCGGCATGGAGTGGGGCGCGCTGCTCCTGACCACCAACGGCGCCAGCCACATTCAGCTGTACCAAATCGACCCGGCATCGTTCACGCTCATCAAAATCGCCGAGTGCAACCTTGGCGCCGAGGTCCGCGGCCTCGAGCGCCTGCGCCTGAACGCGACCTCGGCCGCCTCCAAGGACTACATTCTGGCCGCGCTGGACGGCGGTGCGATTCTGATCCTCGAGTACAACCCCAAAAACGTCACGTTTGAGCTGGTGGACCAGGAGCAATATCAGGGAACCCATCACCCGTGGCTTAGCTGGGGCCGCAACATGACCGCCGACTGGAAGTCCCGGTGCGTGCTGATTGGTGCGCGCTCTCTTCTTTACTTATTTTCATACACCTGGGATATTGTATTTGACATCCAGTTACGCATGCAACGCACGCACATTAACCAGGCAACGTGGAAGAGTGCAAGATCGTGCATATCCTCATTGATCCAGCAGAGACCAAGCTCTCGGTCGCGCTCCCAACCGGTACTTCCCTCCTTCACTTTTGCTATTGCAGGTCTCCATTTGTACTCACCACCAAATTGAACAGTGGACGCCATCCCGTCGTCTCCCCTTTTTGCCGTCGTGTCGGTGGAATCGCCATGGCGAAACCCGATTTTCGCCTGCTTGGAAGCCCACCGCGCGTCCGACAAGTCCGCCATGTCAGCAGCGCTCTCCTCGGCAGCCGCAGCGTCGGCCTACCGCGACGATATCATTGCGTCCGCGGACAAGATGCTGGTCTTTTACGAGCTCGACCTGGAGCAAAACCAGGTCTTTCGCCGCTGGGATGTGCGTGTCGATTCGTCCGCCAATATGGTGATCCCCGTGCCCTCGCCGATCGCAGAACCCACCGTCAGCGCCGCCGCAACCGCCAATGGCGGCGCAAATAATGGCGCCTCACCCGCAGGCACCGCCCCGGCCGCCGCTTCCTCCTCCTCCTCCTCTGTCGCGGCCGGTCCTGGCGGCGTCCTCGTGTGCTCGCGCAACATGGTCGTTTGGTACCACGAGCGACGTGCAGCACAGAGCGTACCCATTCCCCGTCACCCTTCGCTGACACTTGGCGCCGAGCTGTACTTAGTGTCCCACACGGCCGTGCGTGGTCTGCCGCCCAGCGGAACCGGGTGCGCCGTCCTCGCACAGTCCATTTTCGGTGATATCTACCTGATTGAGTTTCGCGACGACGTGCTCTCCATCAAGTTCTTTGACTCTGTCCCGCAAACAGAGCAGCTCTTTTTGCTCTCCAACCGCTTCTTGCTCGCATGCGCTCTCTTTGAACACCCAAAAGTGTACTACCTCGTCAGCGTTGGCGACGGCGACGATGATCCCGACCAGCCCGTGTACTCGGCGCTCGAGCCCACCGATCCCGAGGACGCCGTGTTCCGACCGCGGTCTCTGCGGCACCTCACGTCGACTGCAACACTCCTGGGCCAGCAGCGCGCGGCTCGCGCAAAACAACAACATGTGCTGGCACAGGCCAATGCTGCCGCCATCCAGCGCCAGTACTCTGTCCGGGGTGGGCCACCGCCGTCTGCACTCTCGCCCAGCGAAATGCAACGCCGCGCATCCATGGCTGCCATGCGGGTATCTGGCCTTTCTCCCCAGCAGCAACAGCATCAGCTTCATTTGCAGCAGCAACAACACCAGCAGCAACCGCCTCGGCCGGGCATGTACGTGGGTACTGGAGGCTCACCGATAGGTCAGCGACCAGGTTCGCCGTCGGGCGGCGGTCGCAGCAGTGTCATGTACTCGAGTGGCGGCCCTGGTCCACAGTTCCAGATGCGCCCCTCTGGAATGATGCGTCCTGGCCAGCCGCAACATCACCCACAACAGCAACAACATCCACAACAACAACTTGGCGGCCGAATTGCGATCGCTCCTGGACAGCCCTACATCCCCTCACAAGTATCCCTCGGTCGCCAGTCGTCGGTGGCTTATCGGTACACTGGCCCGCCTCCACCAACGCCCCATGGCACCCCACCACACCAGGGCTACCCAATGTCGCCACAGATGCGACCAGGCGGCTACGCGCCCGTCTCGCCTTACCACCATGCTGCGGCTCAGCAAATGGCGTACCAGCGGCACCCGGGCATGTACGGACAGCCACCCCAGGGCCAGGGCGGCGTGCCCTACGGCATGCAGCCGCAGGGCCCACAGCGGGGGAGTATGCTGGTCCCAAGCGGAATGCATCCCTCCGTTGCCATGCAATCGCCGCCGTTGCGCGCATCCCCCGGGCCGCCCATGCAGGACCCTGCAGCAGCGGCCGCCGCGGCAGCTGCGTACGCGTCCCGCGCCTCGTCACTGGCACATCGCATGCCGCACCCGGCCCAGCAGCAAATGCATCAGCAAGTCATGGTTGGCGGCCGCACCGCATCGCTCCGCCGCCCGCAGTCACACGGCGGGCTGACGATGGCAGCTGGAATGCAACAGCAACAACAGCAGTTCCCGAACGGCGGCGCTATGCCCGGCCCGATTCCGGGCGGTGGCCCTACGAGCTACGGTCCGTCGCCGGCACTGCAATACCAGCCAGGCCAGCAACCCGCACGCATGTCGCAGCAGGATGTACAACAGCAGCAGCAGCAGGCGCGCTACGGATCCATGCGCCGACCTCCTGGCGACGTGTCTATTCTCCCGCGACCCGCATCCGACCCGGGCTTGTTTGTGGACGGTGGCGACAGCAACGTGGATCCTCGCATGAGCGTGGACTCGGGATACCCACCATCGGGCACTTCTGGTGGGTCGGCCTCGTCGCCCAACTTGCACCGCTACTCGTCCGCGGATTCGGCGCTTCCTGGTGGAAATGGCGGCAGCGGCGATGGCGACGCCACAATGGTTGTTGCCGACTCGGGCAATGCCAGTTTCCTGACGACTGACCTGGACGACTCGTTTGCAAGCACTGGCGATGCGACACTTGTCTCTGCGAATGGCGGCGGCGGCGAGTTTGGCGCTCCAGACTCGATGGGCCCCACCGCGGCGTCGGCAGCTTCGGGCGGAGCGAGTGACTCGGCCACCCTCTCTCTCGAAAAGCGCCTCAAGCAGCTCGAGTTGCGATCCTATGTCGCGCACGAGATGTACGAGACGGAAGTGTCGTACCGCGAGTCGCTCAAGATCCTCCTCACGCAATTCAAGCAGCCGCTCGAGGAGCAAAAGCTGGTGCCCAAGGTGTTTATCCGGCTCGTATTTACGGGCGTCGAGGCGCTGCTCGAATTTTCGACCCAGTTCGCCAAAGAGCTCGCGGTGGTCATGGATTCGTGGGACGACGAGCAGTCGATTATGGCGCCGCTGTTTTTGGCCCAGGGCGAGGGCTTTTCGGTGTTTCTGCGGTTTGTCGACAACTACTCGAACGCGCTGGCGATGGTCCGCCGTGCCGAGGAATCCAACGCCGGGTTCAAGCAGTTCAACGAAAAGTGCAAGCACTCGCGCGACACGAACCGGCAGCAGCTGCAGGATTTCTTGATTTTGCCGATCCAGCGCGCCACCCGATACCCGCTGCTGCTCAAGGACGTTCGCAAGCACACACCAACCGACCACCCAGACTATGAGCACCTCACGTCGGCGCTGGGGATCATGAACGAGATGGCCGCGCAGGTCAATCACGTCAAGCAGCAGGAGGAGGAGATGACGCGCATGTTCACCATGTTCAAGCAGGTGGAAGGGTGCCCGCCGATCGTGATCAAGTACTCGCGTCGCCTGATTTTGGAGGTGGACGCGGGCGAGGTGACGGGCATGGGCGCGGCTGCCGCGTCGGCGTCGGGCGTCGCCGGGTCGCTCCTGTCGCTTGTGGCGGCGTCGTCCAAGCACCACCCGCTCCGGTTGTACCTCATGAGCGATCTGTTGCTCCTGGCGCGCGTGCACAAAAAGGGTAAAGTCAAGTTCATCCGGCTCCTCGACTTGGCTGATCTGACGGCGTCCGAGGGCGGATCCGGGATGGTGGTGCTGGACATTCGCGCCGGGTCTCTTTCGACGAGCTCCACCACGCTCAATGCCAAGGCCGGCCACGGTCCTTCTGCTGCCGTCAAATCTGCTGTCAACGCATTTAGCGGCCTGCGCTCTGCCGGCGTGGCCCTTGGCTCCGGGATGGGCGGTGGTGGCGGCGGCGGCGGCCTGGGCGATGCGGCGAGTAAAGAGCAGCAGCTGCCGCTGTCGTATGTGCTCTCGCTGTCGGACGAGAAAGGCCGGCAGGGGTTCCTGCTGGCGCTCCAGGACAAGATCAAGTCCACGCGCGACCAGCGCGCTCGCGAGGGCGGCGTCTTTTCGCTGCCACGGACCG